AGAAACTAACTCATTCATACACAGTCACACACCAATGCACAGCACTGGAAGCAATTCAGGGTTCAGTATCTTGCTCAAGCTTTGACATGTGGTGTGAGGAGCTGGGGATCGAACCAACAACCTTCCGATTAGTGGCCTCCCTCTGAGCCACAGCTATCAACTGGACTTTGTTATACTAAAGTCAAATAGAGCTCATCAGAGAAAAATGAGTGATAACTGTTGTGAAGAGAGAATTTTAATTTTGAATTGTATACTGCAGACTTGCAGTGGCTGTAATACGTTTTTGTAATCAGTGAGAGTGTGTCTCAGATAACACCGTGTCATATTTCTTATTTCTAGGGTTCGTCTCTATCGCTGCCTGAGGAGAAATAATGAACTACCAATGTATTGCTTATCTGTCCGCTGCTATAGACCAAAGCTTCTGTCTTCAGTTTTTTTGTGCTTCTGTTATTGGTGCACAGCTTAACATCTACAATTTTCAGTTTTTGCAAGGAATGAACAAGCAATCTTTGTTTTCTTTAAATTATACTGAGGCAGAAAGAACTTCCATTTTATTTATCTGGGAGGCAACACAACTGTAATATTACTGCAATTAGAAAATTAGTTACATTATTTATTTATAAGAAATTGCTCTGATTGTTGTATCACATCACTAAGCAGCTACTTGCCGTCCAACACTGGTTGTGGTTGCAGCTGTTATAATAAGTGGATTATGCTAATACTGCAATGGTGTGTTTATGTGTTTTTTCTCTATCATGCCTGCAGTGGAGGCATTATTAAGAGGCAGGCACTGTTATTATTTTCTCAGAAGGTTTTTTTTTTGCCACAGGCACCAAAGAAACCACAGGCCATCATAAAAGCTGTGTGAGTCAAAGCTCCTGCAGGATAAAAGGACAGCCTGCTTCAGTTTTGCTACATTTCAGATGTAAAACAGTGTTATTCTGGAGATATTTTTGTTCTGCGTGGTAAAAGACAATAAATAAGGTCGCTCAGTCAAAGTCAGTTGGAAAGGATATCCAGAAACAAGGGCGTAGGAACCGGGGGGGTCCCCTCCAATATTGGACAGGCGCATTTGTCCACCAAAAACTCACAGTAGCCTCTCGAGCAGTCCAGCCTGCAGTCAGAGCAGAGAGAGAAACGCCTGACCCGGGCCCCCGTAATTGCGCAATGCAATATGGCCGCCGTTCCGCACTGGTTACAGAGCGGAGGTGTAAATGTTTCTTCATCATTCTCACCAAAAATAAATTAAATTAAAATTTGTCAAATTTAGGGGGTTTTTTAAAATTTTTTAATCTCTCCATGATCATCTCCTCTACAGCGTCGATACTACATGCTGGGTCTAATCCGCGCCGCACACTGGGAAACTACCTCGCCAAATTAAGCGTTGACGTCATTTAGCGACTTTTCGGACAGCAATAGCTACTTCTCCTTACTGAGGAGTTGGAGCTGGCGACAGGTCAGAGGGTCTAAGATGATCACCCAGAGCTAGCAGCTCATTTAGTATTTTTTTCTTATGTGGCAGGAAGCCATAG